GCCACATTTGAAGACCTCCAATTTTTATAAGTAATTTGAGTCACATTTTACTATGATCATTCTCTGGTTGACTGGTGGATCACCAATTAACAATAATATTAGCGATTAATAACGATTATTAGCAATATTTTCTATATTAATAACTTACAGTCTTTAATATTTGTTTTATATAGTTTTTTTTATTGGACATGTGATAGAGAATTTTTATATAATTTTTATGAAGAGTTTTGTAAGTCTCCATGGTTATAATATTTATAGATCCATATTCTTTAACTGCAGATACTATATGATAGCACCAAGAGTGAAGTTTTGGAAGCTGAAGACCAGTTGCATTGTATTTTGAAAATATTTTAATGAATTCTTTGGCCCAATCCGAAATGAAGTTCTATAAAATTATTTGTTAGTAATCAATATTTTTAAAAAGCCAAGGTTTTATATTTTACCTGAAGCTAGTTACAAGAATCATTATTAAACGATTCTTTACAGGTGGCAATATACATTCTAAGGAATTTGTAATAAACTTGGCATAACCATTTATTACTAATTCCTGGTTTCTTATAACCATCATATAGGTTATCGAGAGCAAAAATTATTATTTTTATTATATTTCGCAGTTCATCGGCCATGGTACGTGTTATATCTGATATATTCTTTATTATTTTAAGGCTGCAGTATTGTAGAATTGATATTAATCGCTATTCAAAGGTTTGAAACACTTGGCCTCAACATTGATCATATAAGAGTTCTTTTGTATAATCAAGCATATACTTGAAGAGATCAAGATCCAAAGCATGCATTCGATCAGATACAATAGCTTCATATATATTAAAGTTTCTAAAATTTTTACATATTATTTATAACAATTTATATTTTTAGTACAAAAATATAATAATAATAAACTAAAATATCCACAGATTAATCGATATATATCAGTACATACCAGGAGATAAGTATTCTATTATATTTATATGGTAGTCTACTATAGAGCTACCAAATTCCTAGATTATATTATTAATAATAGCAAAATATTAGAATATCTCGATATCTTACTTTTAGTGCTAAGAGTGCTAAGAGAAAATATCAGGATATCCAATGTTTTACTGTTATGTTACTGATATCAATCTAGTTATTTGGCAAATCTATAGTAGTCTACTATGTACATAACAGAAAACTTGTCTCCTGGTATATACACAGCAGTGTCTGAAATTCGATTTTTAATTTAGTTGCGGACCCACAACTAAATAACAAATCTACTTGCAGATTATATAAATTTAGTTGCGTATATAAATATTTCTATATGTAAATTCGAACATATCTATATGCAAATTCAGAAATTTTGTTTGCGGAACCACATATGCATTTTAGATTTTAGTTGCAGAAACTTATAAATAGTATGTGGTCCGCAACCCAATTTCAGACACTAGGTGCACGGTATGAATTAATTCAACCCATAACTATACCTTATTTTCCAAAATGCATTTTTTTCAGGATGAATTGAATAATACTGATCTTCTCCGCTATCAATCGCTTGTTTAATAGTATTTAGAGTTCTTGGAATTATTTCTGTCAAATTTGTATTATTCAAGTTATCTCTTGAAACCAAGCACTTTGCACATGGCCATCTTGAGGAGAATGGTTGATAAACGTTTATAAACTTATCAACTTCAACCATGTCCACAATAATTATAGATATATATGAAATAAAAGTAATTATATCTCCAGACATGACAAAGTGAAGCTCAGACCCTTTGACAATGGGCTTGAAAAGAGTCGACAAACACTTCTAGAAGACTTCTCTTTGGGCCATTTAAACTTTATCAGAGTTTTTTGTTTTAAAATCCATGGCTTTCAAGATCGGAAAGTATCTAATTAATGCTTTTAATTCTAGTTTATTTCTTTGGTGATTGAGAATGTTTTCAAGCAATAAAAACATGAGATGCCCAGAAGATTTTCCCATGTTGTCCAGGGTTGTCGCATCCGGATAAAGTATAAGCGATAGCAAATGCTGCCCAAGGAGTAAATCTGATTCTTCTTGCTTCCACCAATTACTTTGGTATTGTTTCCCGAAGATTCTACACTCTACACTGTTTCTTACTTCTTTTTTATCTTCATATTGAAGAACTAGTGACTGATTAATACTATCGATTATTAATAAAGACTTTATAGTTTTTATTAATGATCGATAGTAAAATACATATTCAATGTTTTGAAACATTTTAACAGGAACTTCCTTAAACATCATATAAGGAATAGTAGTATCATCAAGAAATTCTTTTCCTGCCTTTGTTGATGATAGAAGTAGCGAAGTATCCAAATTCGAGAATTTATTGAAGAAGGTTATAAAAGCATCACCAGCTGAATTTGATAGCCAATATTTACCATAAATTCACGATATGCATTGTTAGGCCATTCGACAGTTTGTGGGTAATACAAGTCCTAAAAGCTTCATCAAATGAGGCCCTTTCATAGTCTTCAAGGCCTATTTCATATAATTCAGTTGCAAACAATATATCTTCATAGTCTTCGAAATCACTCATATTAGATATATTTTGAGATGCATTGTCTTTAGTCATATTATCCATTTGATGAAGTTCTGCTTCTATAAAAGAATGCGCATACTCAACTGAGCTTTCAGATCTTTCTATATATTTGCTCTATATGAAAATAATCAATTAATATCATTTACTATATTAATAAGAAGATAATTAACCATTTACTTTATATCCTGAAAAATCATAATTAGGATAATCTTCTGGAAGATCCCAAATATCATCATCCACTTGTTCATTGGAGACTTCCTGATTTGGGAAACTTTGAAGGTGAGGATGTTTTTGTGAAACATGTTGAGTTAATGCGTGTGATTTTGAAAATTCTCTATTGCAATACTTACACTGCTAATGCATTTTAAGAGAAAAAGAGAAACTCCAAAAGAAAAGAGAAGAAAAGAGAATAAAGATGAAGAAATGGAAAAACAATAGTAATAAAGCAATAATATTAGAGTCTAGTATTTAGAAGAATATTGTTTAAATTGGTTTTAATCAAATACTATCGATATTAATTGCATTATTAATATAAATTAGTTTAAACTATTTTGGCCTAGCCAAATTTTTTTCTAGCTTTTAATCGATATTTCTCAACACCTGTCTATTCAATTTTAGTAATTTTTTTTATTTTAATTCTACATACTTGCAGAATTATAATAAAAAAAATATATTGAATTTGAATATATGGGTGCTGAGAAAACATTGTTTAAAGATTTGTAAAAAAATTTAAAAAAGTTGCAATAAATTTATTTATTTAAACTTTAATTGATAATTGCTCAACAACCATCTATCCAATTTCAATGAAATTTTTTTTGTTTTGATTCTGCAATTTTACAAGATTAAAATAAAAAAAATTAACTGAAATTGAATAGACATATGTTGAGAAATAATGATTAAAAGTTAAAAAAAAATTTGGCTGCAGCTTTTTTTTTACAGATATCTAAAATTTGAACAAAGATTACTCAGCGCTTACCTGATCTTATTTGATCAAATTTCTTATTTTAATTCTATAATTTGATAGAATTAAAATAAAAAAAACTTAAGCAAATTTGATCAGATAAGTGCCGAGTTATTTTCGTTCAAAGTTTAGATATCCAAAATAAAAAAGCTGGGCCAAACTTTTTTTCAGCTTTTAATCAATATTTATCAACATCTTTCTATTAAAAAAAGTTTTTTTTTTTTTTTAATTCTTCATACTTGCAGAATCAAAATAAAAAAATTCTATTAAATTTTGATAGATGGGTGTTGAAAAATCATTGTTTATAATTTCAAAAAGAAAAATTTTGCCAATTTTAGATTTTTTTTTCCAAGATATTTCAAGCTTTTTCAAAACTTCTAGCAAAGGTTTCTCAATAATCACTAAATCAAATTCAATGAACTTTTGTTTATTTTAATTTTACAAATATATGGAATCAAAATAAAATGGTTTACTAAATTTGATTGAATGATTATTAAAAAATTGTTGCTAAAAGTTTAAAAAAATTTAATGTTTTGGTTTCAGAATTAGATTGACAGTGATCTTCAGCCCGGAAACTCTATAATAACACAATGTAACAATGTGATAAATCAAGTATAATGACAAAACAAAAATAAGTATTTTCATTTTTTAATGACGATAACTTTATTAAATTTTTTTTACATATGATTACTGTCATTAGATTTAATTAATACACAAATATATAAAATAATGGATTTTTGTCATTTGAAGATAAATAATTTTTTTTCATTTTTGAAAATATCAAACAACTTGAAAAACTCACCTACTAATACAACATCTAATACCACTAACCCTTCTAAAACATCCAATACTGAAACAACTAATGCTAATATTTCAACATATATCACTAACCCTCCTATTAATTCTGATAATATCGCTAACCCTCCTACTCTCAATGATAATAATTATTTTGATTATGATTCTTCAGATTCTATTGCAAGCATTTATAGTATTTTTTCAAGAATGAAAAATAATCAACAACAACCATCTCAATCTCGACAACTATCTCAATCTCGACAACAACTATCTCAATCTCAACAACCATCTCAATCTCAACAGCCATTTTAATCTCGACAGCTATCTCAATTTCGATATTCTCGCTATTCTTCTCCAGAAAATAGAAATCGATCCCTATCTCCACAACGAGGTTAATCACGTGAGAGATCAACCAATCAAAACCAAACATGCAAACAAAATGATAACTATTTTTAAATGTTTTTTGATTTGAATGTATTTTTTGTTTTAAATTCTTTTGAATGGAAACTTTTTTTTTTAAAAAATTTTTTTTTCTTTTTTTTTTCCCCCTCCTTTTTCATTGGAAATCGCTCCCGCGATAGTCAACTTAATAATGCAGGTAATGAATGGGAGATACTCAAACAAAACAGATACTTGTATCTGTTAGTGAAGGAGCTTTGCCGAGATGTAAAGGAGATCAAAGACGAATTAAGGCGGCAAAGAAAAGAAAAGAAAAATGATCTTTCCCCTCAAGTATTGGATGTAAGTGGCTCTGGCTTTGCTTTATTTAACTATAAACTATGGGCAAGTTCTAAACTATACAATTTAAATTATATGATATATATACAAATATGGTAAAATATTTATTTCCACAAAATTTATATCTGTTTCAACAAATAATCAAAAAGTCCTTGAAGGACTACCTAGACAACAAATATGCTGAATTTAACATTAGCACTAATGAATTCACAAACCGTTTTCATATGGAATGGCTCAGTGGAATATATTGATTTCTCATGTTTATTATGTATAAGATATTGGTCATGCAACCAATTAATATTATGAAATTTGCTCTGACAAACCAAATTTCATGATATTAATCGTTGCATGACCAATATCTTATATATATCATTTAATTATTTTTTTTTTAATATTCATTTGATTTTATTTATACTTTTATAACAATAACATTTATTATTTTATTTTACCAGTTGCTAGCAAAAATGAAAAATTACCGGGACACGGTGTTCCAAAACATTAGAAATTTAATTTAGAAAGTTTTTGGAGTTGAAAAGCTCTCCTTATTGAAAAGTAATGCTGGTGCATCTGAGATTGTGAGGTGGAAGCAAAGTGCTGAGGTTGCCAATTGCTTCTGCTCACTTTTGTACAAAATGAAAGTGGCACCTACTGGATTGATTTGATCGCAAGGAATGCCTTCTCTACAGTTGCGATACCTACCTTGACCCACTATCACTGTGTGTTTACGTTAGCCGTGTGCGATATAATTCTAAACCCTCGGTCATGAAGGGTTAAATATACAGAGAAACGTATGAAATGTCACATAGAAAAGTTTTTGGTAAGTTTTTGTCATATATCGCTTTATATCAACACAAAATTAACGAGTTTTACATTGTAGAGTGATTACAATAGTGGCGGTCTCTCTTATGGTTCTGCTGAAGCAATAATGGACGAAGAGCTGGAGACTAACGAATATAGGTCTCGAATGAACTCTCCTTAGACCGATTACGTATCTGAACCATTATCACGATTGGGCTCCTCAATGCAATATTCGGAAGAGGAAATAGATGAAGTGTTTGGGGTCTATGAATAGTAATGGATTGGGTGTTCGTTTTTTTTTTTTTTTTTTTTTTTTTTCTTTTTCTTTTTCTTTTTCTTAATACTAGTATAGATTTTTATATTAGCTAATTGCAGATTGATTAGTGTTTTCTAATTGTATTGTTTATGTTTAATAACAATGCTATAATAAAAAATAAGATTGCATTAATATTAAATTGATTGATAGTTTGCTTTTAAATTTATTATTTATAATATATATGTTAATTGAAACTTTTAATAAATTAGAGTTGATCTTAATCGTGCATTCGATTTTTATATAGTTATTTATTGATTCAAATCGATATCGATTACTATCGATAGCCATAAACCGCTATCGATTACTATTGATAGCCATAAACCAGATAGATATTGATTACTTTCTAAAACGATTAGAATCAACAGGGGTGATTAATATCGATATATATTTGTTTGGTTAGTAATTAATATATATCTATATATAAATTTTGCAATGAAGCTAGAAAACCAAAGACTGCAGTATTACTTGCGAAAGTGGAGTAGAGATAAAGGCAAAAAGAAATGATGAAGCAGCTAGATTCCTAGGTGTATAGATTTCAGAGAGAAATAAGAAAATTGCAGAACAGATTTAGTAGAAAGAAAGGTTGCTGGGTTAGTAAGAATTCTAAGAAAGAAGAAGATATCTTTAGGGCACCTGCAATATATAAACAATAGAGTTCTGCTACCAAGATTAAAGTACCGATTAAAATGTCAAGTGATAAGCAAGCAAGCCTGTGACAGAATTCATAGGCCCTTTCTCAATTTACTTAAGCAAAAAGCAGGCTTAGCAAGTACTATAGCAAACAGCATTATTCTGCATCCGAATTTGGTAGGGGCTAAAGGCTTGTGGTAAGCAAAGGTGGTGCAACAAGTCTCTAGTTTAGTTAAGAGATTAAATAGTATAGAGTCAGTAGGGAATATAACCTGGATTAGACTGAG